AATAAATTTGGAGTCATTAATATTTACGTATTCTTGTATAACATGTCCCAAGATCTTGTTCAACATGTCTATTGACATCTCTTGCTCATAGGTATGGGAGACATATTTCAACTTAAAGCATGCTTTTATGGGCATGTCTAATTTTTTTTAGATATAATTTTAGGTTAGTGTTTGGACTCGAGTCAACTCGTGTTTAAAAAAACATAGTCTTGACTCGAGTTAATTCAAGACTATGTTTTTAAGCTACGAGTTGACTCGAGTTCAACACCATTTTAGGTTAATAAGATTATATAATTGATATATTGTTTTTTTAAAAAATTAATTAAGTACGTACGTACAAATTAAATATTACACAATTAAGCATATACGTTGTACACTACATATTTGTCTGTACACGGGGTATGTTTATATCTTAAAATTTTATTATGAAACAGCTTTTGGAGTTCTAACAAAAAAAAATTCCCGTAAAATTTTAGCCAAGACTACGAACATTACTAACTCTAAAGCTAACTCTATCCTAACCTTAAGTGGAGTTAATTTTTGTTCGTAAAAATTAATAAATTTGTATATTATACGAATTGACGTGTGAAAAAAGATTTTTTCTAATAATTATGCTTGGATAATGTATATTTAATAAGATGTTTATATAAATGTAACATATAGAAAGATCCCAAATTTCCGAATCGGAATCGACTTAATCAAACTTTTATTAATGAAGTCGTTGCTCATTCGCTAAGTAAAAATGCCAGCTGTAGATATAGTCGGCTAGTATTAATTAATACTAGTCCGACCCAGAATTTTGCGGATTGCCCGTAAGAATCCTATAAAAGTAATAGTCTTTGCTATCCAAGATAAAATCAATTATGAAATTCAATAACGATAACAATGCAGCATTACTTTAAAGTGCATATTACAGTAAAATCACCCAAAAATGGATCATGGAAAGTATAAAATTTAAGCGTGCTCAAAATTAGAAGTATATAATCGTTATTCCGTCAATACCAAATTTAGATTTTGATCTAGTGCATATCCATTATTATTAACTTTAGTGAATTTCATTTACATTAGACCCGTGAAATTCATTTACATTAGACCATTAGACCCCCTAGGTATTAAAGTGACAGAACCGGTTTTATTTTTTATACGTTAATTCGGATTCAACCGAATGTACCATATAAGTATAATATTCAAGTGTTTGCGCCTAAATTGTAAATTGTAACTCAAAATATATTAAACTAAATTTCCGCTGCAATGCAATAAATGTACACGAAATGCGTAATTTTGCTTTGCATACATTTATTGATTTCCTCGTTCGAGCACCAGGACATCACGTGATTACAGTAAAGGTTCCCGTATCATCTTTGTTTATAATAAAGGCACGAATAATATTGAATTTCCGAGAAGAAAACAATTCGTAATCTTTTATCGCTAAAAATTAACAAGTGTAGTAAGACGAACTTCTAGTGTAAGTGGCGTAGGGTTTCCAAAAGATATCGTAAATGAGAAAAAATAATAGTCACAAAAGTTACCAAATTGCTGTACCACGTTTTTTCATAAATGAAATGCATTTACATACACGTATAATAAATGCCATATGGTTCCAATCAATAAACTAATAATTGGTTCAATTAACGACGTGCATATATGCATACTAATAATTTACACATATCTTTATATATAATGTCTACATATTATTTTGTGTTATTAGAGCCTTTCCTGTTGCTTGATTAGCGGAGGGAAAGAGAATAAATAACACTTGGTGCATAAATTTAGGCAGACTTTTATCATTCTTTACGTATCCTGCTCATTTCCTAATACACATCTTACCATTCCCCTCTTTTCATCTTTTTTTTCAAAGTGTCAGATGCAGCGCATTTATTGATAGACACTGAAAAAAAATTTTACAATCTCAGCAAAATTAAAATTGTAATTTTTTAGAAAGAAAAGATGCTTTCAGTTAACGACGACGCAGAAGTACATCAAAAACGTGAGTATATATTTTTAATCTTTCGTTAAATAAAAAAGTTGGTTTTTATTCAAAAGCTTTTGATCAATACAATTAATAATAATAAAGCTTACGCGTTTTCTTATCCTACTAATGTCAATGATATAGGTGATGCGAAAAAAAACAGTAATAAAAAAACCGTTAAATCTGCCAAGCCTGTGAAATCATCAAAGAATGCAAATTCAAAAAAAGCAAATTCAAAAAAAGAAAAATCAAAAAAAGTAAAATCAAAAAAAGTAAATTCAAAAAATAAATATAACTTTCAGCCTGACCCCGTGAATGATACACCTACTACAGACTCATATTATGATGCAGATTCAATTGCTACTACTACAGACTCATATTATGATGCAGATTCAATTGCT